CCTGGAGTTTGTGTTCAGCCTGATTATTATGAATTTACACTAATGTTCCATGAAGAAAATGTCTTTACCATTAATGCGTTAATTAAGGTCCCATTTGCAGTCTGATTGTGAATGGGAGTCACCTGTGTGAGGGATGGGCCCTGTTCCCTGCTGGTGAGGCCTCTGTGAGCAAGCAAAGGCTCAGGGTGGCACAAAGCGGGGAAACCTGTCATCTGTTCTCTGATTCCAGGTGGGTGGGGTCATAGGGGTCACACTTGGACACTCTTAGGCTGGAGTGTTGGCATGGGGTTCCAGGGCCAGATGGAGTCAGGAGGGCATCTCTCTCCCCAGGCCTACTTGTTCAATTCATTGTCATTGGGTACACATAAGGGCTCATTTGCGTATGGCCCAGCCCACGGACAGGGGCTGCCACACTGGGTATCACCTGGTACACTGGGCAGTGCTTCACTGCCTCCTCTTCCCCTCCTGCCCCTGCTCAATCACCCCACACCACTTAGAGGATGAGCTCCCACTCTGAGGGAGGCAGTAAGGGCTTCTTCTGCATCTTTTCCCCCAGACAAAACCCTTTTTAGGCAGAAGGCCAGTCTGTCCTTAGACTTCTGACAATCTGCCTTCACCCCAAGAGTCAAGGTCCTTTTGGGAAAATGCATGTTTTTGTTTTTGTTTTTTTCAGAAGTATTTCTCATAAAAAAGATGGTCTCCATCTTACCCTCCACTAGATTCCACTTCCCTTCTGCTCTCCTCCTTCCCACTGGCCTCCTCTCCCCTCCCAGTCTTTGCCTCTCCTCTCCTTCTCTCCCTCCCTCCTCCTCCTCCTTCTCCTTTCCCATTCCTCTCTCTCATCTCCCCCACTTCTTCCCCCAGAACCCCATTGTTCCTGTGCCTTCCAATAGGACCTGGACTGGGGTCACACTGAAAAGTGCTTGCTCTTCCTTCCTGGCTGTTCTGCCTTCCCTGGATGTGAGCTGGATAAGGGCTTTCTGGCTTCTTCCACTCAGTGGTACCAAAGGGAATAAATGTTGTGGCCACTATCACCTTCAGGGAGGAGATAGGGTGAAAGGGAGCGGGCTCACCCCAAGGAAGGGCTTCCATAGAGCTGCAGGGAGGACAAGGCATCTTTCTGGAATGTTGGTAGAGAAGGCAGCACTGGGCTGGCGGGGAAGGAAGAGAAAAGTGGGGAATACTTCTGCCTCCATGGCATCAGCCCTGCAGCCTGGGCACCTGAACCTCACTAGAGAGACTGCCTTCCAGCACCTAGGCACAGAAGACAGGGTTTGGTCAGCTAGCCGCCTGTGAGAGGAGCCAGGCTCAGTTTCCTTAAGGAGACAGGTTGCTCATTGCAACAGGTGAAGGTGGGTGGGAAGGAATGGAACACGGAGAGAGCTTGTTGCTTCTTTCCAGCTGTTCTCTTTATTGGTTATGGGGTGGGAGTGAAATAGAGAGAGGAAGAGGGGAGAGAGAGGAAGGGAGGGTAAGAGAGAGAGAGAGAGAGAGAGAGAGAGAGAGAGAGACCAACCAGGCTGTTTGCAGTGGCTCTTGGCAGGCAGGCATGCCCAGGGTAAAGTGGGTAGCATAAATCTCCTGCGCAGTCTCAGCAGACGACCACTTTAAATCTTAATTGGTTGCCTTTTAAATATCACTTAAGGGCTCTCTCTCTCTCTCTCTCTCTCTCTCTCTCTCTCTCTCTCTCTCTCGTTAAGAAGGTGTTGTGTCAAATTCTATTACCTTGCCGGCCTTCTCTTCCTTAAACTAAGAAAAAGAGAGAGAGAGAGAGAGAGAGAGAGAGAGAGAGAGAGAGAGAGAGAGAGAGAGAGAGAAAGGAAAGGAAGGAAAAAATGGAACCATCAACAGCAGTTTGAGGGTCGATAAAGCTTTTAGATTTGGAGGTTTCCGGGAGCCCATTTCCCGCGGCTAAGAGTTGTTAATGGAGCTTAAGGAATTATCTTAGACGCGCGCCCGCGCCCGCCGTATATTTCCCGCGCCGGTTCCCCTGTCGGCTGCGGATCTGCTGCTGTCAGACTCGCTTAATGAAAAGTAACGCGCCGCTGATTGCAGTTTTATTTGGGCTCTATGTAAAGAGCGTCGTTAATTTAGCACCCTCCTCGGCGTGTTTGAATTCGCCACGCCTGAGTGGCTGAGCGCCGGCCCGGTTCCTTCCCTGACAGCCGCCGGGGGAGTGACGTGAGGCTCCCCCGGGGACAGCGACCTTTCTCCGCAGCCGCAGCCGCAGCCCCGCGCCCCGTCCGCCCCGCCCCACCTCCGCGGGGCCTTCCCACTCGCCCCCCACCGCCCCCTGGCGCGAAGAAGGGCCAGAGGGTGGGTGCGGTGCACAAAGCAGTGTGCCCCCAAAGGCTGAGGAGTGGGGCGGAGGAACACACCCAGCTTCCGGCGTCCTTTGGAATGCGTTACCCTGGGATGTGGCTGAACCCCACCTTCCCATCTGATGTCTTTATTTCACACCAATTTGTCCTTTAATCAAATAAACCGCTTTCAGGCAGTCAGTTCCTCCAGAGGACTGGGTGCTCCTGCAGCGTGGGCATCACCCCGGCCTGGGACAGACAGGGTCCGAGCAGCCGCGGTGCTGGGGCCACAGGCCTGGGCGGGAGGGGAATCAGCCGCGGGGCCGCGCTCACCGACCGGCGCCTCCTGCCCGCCCCTGGGGTCCCGCTTCCCCTGCAGCCGGCAGCCCGCAGCCCGGCCGGGCGGGGCCACCCGGCGAAGTCTGCACCCGCACCCGCACCCGCACCCGCGGCCCGGCTTCGGCGCCGCCCAGGTCCTCAAAGCCTCGTTTTTTTTTTGCTGAAAATGCCCGGCTTTGTCTCAGGTTGCAGTGGGGGCTTCTGGGCAGCGCATTAAAATTCCTGGCGCCCCAGCCTCGGCCCCGGCGTCTCCCCGGAGACTCCACTTTCGCTATTACTGTCAAGTACCCTTGACTCTTTATTTTTGCCCTTTTATCTATTACAACTAATTCGAGTTCTTTTGCCCTTTTCAGTCTAAGACGTGGCTTTCCGCAAAGCCTCCCCCTGCCAGCGGGCTCTCGGAGCGGCCGAGCCTTTAGAAATTGAGGGGTTTACTGTCAAAATGAAAATTTCACTTCAAATTATCTTGGCTGATGCTCGCTCGCCAGGCCGGGGGCTCTCGCCGCAGCCTTTTGACAGGCACATCAGCGGCGAGCTTCCGAATCTCGATAATATCATCCAAGAGAGCGAAAGTCAATACGGTGACAGCGCGCGGGCGGATACAATCCAATTACCGCGCGCGGCCCGGGCAGCCTGGGCGCGGGGCCGACGCCTCCGCAGGGCGCGGGGCCGGCTCTCTCTGCTCCAGGTTTGGGCTTCAAGATCCCACTGCTTAGAGTTGGGGCTCTGGCCGAGGCCCGGCCATCCCAGTCTCACTACTTAGGGTGCCCCATAGCCCAGGTTACCGGCTTCTGGCCGCGCGGTTCCCTCTCTCGGGTGCGTAAACTCTCCCCAAGATCGGATCCCACCAGCCAATCAGGACTGCTTTGGGGCGCCCCGGGCCGAGAGCCCAGGCCTCGCCTGTCCCTCGAAAACTGCCCTCCAGTCCCCAGAGAGGTCCTGCCTCTCCAGTTGGTGGGTGTCTCCGCATCTGTCAATCTGCCTCCGTCCCGGGCAAGGGCCGCCATTCCTCATCGCTGAACCTAAGAGCCACCCCACCTCTGCAGGCTCGCTGGCCTGTGGACTCGTCCTTCCTCGGATACCCGGCACTGGTAGAATGAGGTCCAGCAGGGCCATAGGCAGAGGGCTTTCAGTGCACTCCAGTGAGCAGTGCACTGGCACACCGCCCTCCAGGACCTTGGAGCAGGGTCAGGCGCCGGCGGGATGGGAGTGGAGGGACCCCGGTTTCTGAGGAAAGTCGGACCCTTGAGGAGGCGGGGCAAGGCCCAATTCCTCCTATCCCCAATGGTTGTGTCCCTAATCCTTACTTAGCCCAGCGTGGGGTCTGAGGTCTACAGAGCACTTCCCTGTCTGGGAGCCAAAACTCGTGGCGGGGGATCTTTGCCTGTGGACCACAGGGTTAGGAGCCAGGTGAGGCCCTGGAAGGCCGCACAATCCCGCACAGCAGGATTCAAGGGCCGACTTCCTACGAAAGGAGTCAAGACTGTGATGTCTCTGTCCCTCCCCCACCGGGGAGTTTAGAAATGTAAAAGCTATTCAAGTTAATCTAGCCAAAGTAACGCCCATCGACTCAAATTTCAGGAGCTTGGTAATTGGGGGGGGGGGGGGGCGTTTTAAAAGTTTTGGGTCTCTATCATTTCATATACTTCTATCTTTTAAAAAAAATAGCTTTACCAAACCCTGTTGCAACTTCCTGGAGTCTCTGGATCAGTACACTCCCCGACTTTTCCCCTTGGTGATCAGCATCTGCCCCGCAACAAGTTCTCAAGTCCCTACCTGGTCACTGTGCTCATTTTGCAATGCAAACATCATCACTCGGTTTTATTGGTTTTGTTATATCAGCCTCTGAAGCAGGCAATTACTGGTGTGGACATACATTTAAAAAACATAATTTTATCAAGTTAAGAGTGTGCAATAGTTAAATTTGTGGAAGTGTTTCTGGTGAGAATTATGTGCTGAGGATGAAAGCAGAAGGTCAACAGGCTGAGGGGTCCTCAGACAGGGCACCGGCATGCCTCACACCCAGAAGACAGTGACACAAACAAAGCCTCTGAACTCAACAGGCTTCTCCATGTAAACTTTTGGACGTAAACTTTATGCTTCAGGGTGGCTGCTTTCTGCTCTGGGCGCAGCCCCATCCCATCAGTCCCCAGTTTGGAAATGGCCAGGGTGGTCGGTGGACCTGGCGCGACAGATCAGGGGTTTGTCCATGGCTCCTGGAGACAGAGTTCAGATCCTCCCTCCAGGGTGGAGGGGTGGTCTGAGCATCGCTGCGCTCTCGCCTAGCTTTGGAAACTTGTTAGAAAAAGAGTCTTTGACGTGCGTGCGAGCTTCCCTCTTGGGCCCTGAGGTCCCTCGGAGTTAAGCGCAGAAGGGCTTCCCACCAGCTTTGGGCAGGGCCAGCAGCTCCTTGGTGGTGCCCGCCACTGGAGAATCCTGGGGGGCAGCTGGAGGGAAGGTGCGGGCCAGGGGTGACGTCAGCACATTGGTGCTGGCCCCTAGTGAGCGGCCCAGGGGCCCCGAGTCTAGGAGGGTGCCCTTGGCAGTGGCCCAAGCCTGGTTCAAAGTGCTGTGCCTGAGGATGGGGTCGTGAAAGACTCCATCCACCCAGTTTCTGAGGCTGGTTACCGGGGAGTCCTGGTGCCTGTCCAGAGCACCGGCTGGGGACGGGGCTGCAGGTGAGGACAAGGGGGGCGCCAGAGAGACGGCCGCAGGGGCGGCAGGCCCTTGGCGCTTGAGCATGCAGGAGGGAAACTCAGTCTGACTCAGGTTGGTGCCAGTGGCTGCAGTCGCCGTGTGAGCCAGGGACCAGATGCGCGGTTTGACCTCCAGGCCCGCAGTCGCCCCAGCCGGCACAAAGCCCAGCTTGGCCTCAAAGGCCTGCGGGCCGCCGCCGGCGGCACCCGGTTGCTGTTCCGGCCCCGCCACCACACTCTGGAGGCAGCTCCGGGCCCTCTCCAGGTCCTGGTCCAGGGCAGACCCGCCATCGGTGGTGAGGGGCATCCGGTGGGCACTCGAGGCCTCTTTACCAGGGGCACTGGGGCGGTCAGGCGTGGCAGGGATGCGTTCCAGACCACTTTCCAGGGGCGGGAAGGGCGGCTTCAACTCACACTCCTGGGGCTCCGCCTCCAGCGGGTCGAAGTCCTCCAAGTCGCTGAGCTCAAGATCCTTCTCTTCTTTGCCGAGGGGCTCTGCCCAGGAGAGAAAGAGTAGTCAGTGCAGGGAGAGAGGATGGTGGGTTAATTAGGCTCCCATCTCCTTCTCCTCCCTATCTCCGTGCCTATGGTTGTGGGGCTTGGCCCTGGGGCTAGGAAAAGCAGCCAGGCCTTATTTCCTACTTCTTTTTTTCCTCCAGAGGCACCCTACCTCAAACAGGCAACACCTGTGACTGTATTTCAGCCTCAATGGTGTCTAATGTTTTAAACGTAATGTTGGATTTCTTCAAAGATACTCCTGGCTCACCACCACAGCTCCCGCTCATGCGCGTGCGCGCACGCTCGTGTGTACACACACATACACAAACTCTCTCTCTCTCTCTTTCACACACACACATTGGGCCCTGCTTGGGTCAGTTCATTTGCTGCCCAGGCACTCCCTCCCCCACCCCCTACACACACTCCTTCACCCCCACCTCCTCAGGGGTTCCATGCCTTAGAACTCACAGAGAAAGCACAGAGACCTGGCCTTGAACCTCAGCCCCAGCATCACCAGCTTCTACCCACCTTCACTCTTAGTGCTCTTGAGGGGCTCCTCCCGGGGGTCCTCTTCTCCCCCCTCTTCCTCCTCGCCCTCCCCATAGGGCTGTTTCTCATCTGCGCACTTGTTCCTGGGTGGCCATGTCATCTTGTTCTCCTTCTTAAGGCGCCGGCGCGCGTTGGCGAACCAGGTGGAGACCTGCGTGAGGGTCATCTTGGTGATGATGGCCAGCATGATCTTCTCGCCCTTGGTGGGGTAAGGGTTCTTGCGGTGCTCCTGCAGCCAGGCCTTGAGCGTGCTGGTGGTCTCCCGCGTGGCGTTCTTGCGCCGTGTGCCGCTGTCCATGGTGCCGTACCTGGAAACAAGGGGCGCAATGGGGCATCAGGGGGCTTTCAGTCCCAGTCCAGGTTGTGTGTTTATGGTGGTTCCAACCTCATCCTGACCCGTGCCGCTGCCCGCAGGGGCTGCTGTTTTGGGCCAAAGTGCAAAGAGAATGTTTATATTTGATTAAACTCACATGGAGCCTTGGCTCCTTCCTGAGCCAGGGAGGTGGCGAGTGGGGCCAAGTACAAGGCCTAGCCAGGTGCCTGTCGCTACTCATATATATCTTTAAACCAGACTACGTAATGCCCATGGGCAGAACTGGTCTTCAGTGCAGTGGGGAGAATGCACCTGCCTGACCTTTCTGCATATGTGATTGTCTCCCCTGGAAAGAGGGGCGTGTTGTCTGCCAGTAGGAGAGGACTTGCCCCCTCAGGTTCCCACCTAGGGGCGGTGGGTTGGGTTGCACTTCTTGGGGCAAAGGGAGACATCCCAGGCCTGGGCAGCAAGATGAGACTCCCCCAAACCACAGTACAGCGAGGACTTTGGGAGTCTAGACAGATTAGGGAGTGGGATGGCAGGAGGGAGACTTGGAGACTCTTTCAACCCTGGCCAGACGGGCTAGGGCTCACCAGGTGGCGGGCTGGGACCAAGCCCTGGTCAGCTCAGTGAGACCTAAGAGAGGAATGCTGCTGGTCTGGCCTCCCCGCCTTTCAGAGAGGCCCTGCAATGCTTGGGGTGGGGGTGGTGTTGATGGCTGATTGGAGCGCCAGGGCCCAGGGAGGGTGAAGAGGGTCAGCCCCTCACCTGTCATAAGCGTACTGGCCCAGCGCCGGCTCGTAGGGGTAGTAGGCGGCGGCGGCCGCGGCAGCGGCGGCGGCGGGTGCGAGGCCCGCATGCGCAGATCCTGGCGCGTCCTTGGAGTCGAAGCTGTTCTGTGGGAGCCCAGCAGCTTAGGGTCCGGGCTTCCTTCCCGGGCGCTACCCATTTCGAGCTCCTCCCCTAGGCCCCTGGCTCCTGCAAGCTTCGCTCTCCCCCCCCCCCCCCAGACTGTCCCTAGGGTCTAGACAGCAATAAGAGACTGGTGGGGGTGTTGTCGGGAGGGACTGGGGAATAGGTGCAGAGGAACTGGAGATAGGAGGGCGAGACTGCAGGGAGGAGGTGGGAAGAAGGGTGGGGGCAGCAGGAAGGAGGAGGGTGAGAGAGAGGCGGAAAATAAAGAGGGAAGAAAAGGAGGAGAGAAATGGAGAGGAGCCCAGGGGACTGGGAGAGGTCAGGGAAGGAGGGGGAGGAAGGCAAGAGTGTGTGTATATGGGGGAGGGGGTCTTGGAGGAAAGGAGAAGTAGAGGGAGGCCAGGAGGAGTGAGGGGCGGGGGAGCTGTGGAGGGGAGGAAGCAGCGGGAGTGGGAGGGGAGAGCCTGCTCCCGCCGAACCAGACATCGCATCAGAACTTAATAGTGATCCATGAACAATCAGTACATTACACACAGCGGCCCCACCTGCCTGGTAGCCCCAACCCAGGGTAAAGTGGGGGCAGGACTGGTGATGTTCCCAGGGACCAGGCTTGGAGGCGCTTCTCCCACCCCCTACAGCGGGGGGTGGGGGTGGGGGGGAGGGGTGGCCCTTTCTCCCAAGTTGGGAAAGTGAAGTTGGCAAATCAAATCGAGGGGCAGGGGCGTGACGTGGCGGGAAGGCTGGAGATACGCTCCTCTCCGCCCTTACCAGCGAGTAGAAGGCGGAGGCCTCGGATCCGTAGGTCACGTAGTTGCCGTAGCCCTGCGAGCTGCCGTAGGGGCCCCCATAGACGCCCAGTGCTGCGGCCGAGTTGAGCTCGTGGCGCGCAGTGGCCAGCAGCCGGCTCTCATAGACCGGGCAGTACACGGGCGCCTGGGCCGAGGCTGCGGGCCCGGAGTCGGCCAGCGTGCGGCCACCGGATTCGCAGCACGTGCTCAGGGAGTTGGGGGTCATCAGGAACTGGGGGAGAGAGGGGCCGCAAGGAAGGGTGGGCCACCAGGCGCAAGGCTGGGGTCCTGGGCCTCCATCCGCCCCGCCCGGCCCAGAAGGCCTTGCCTATGTCCTCTGGTTCTCTAGTGTCCACGCCAGATCGCGCCCCCTCCCGCGAGGAGCCCGCGCACTCCAGTCCCCATCCAGCCACGTGGATCCCAGCCAATCCTGCCCAGGGGTGCTCATATTCTCCTTGAGGGGGGTCCAAGGCCGAGCATGGCCTCCTGTGCCACTTCTCTACTGGGTGCCTTGGATGCCCTAAGGTGCAGCCACAGAACCAGGGGAGGGGGCCTGGTGGGGGGTGAAGGTCAAATTAAGCGGGAGCTGGGTCCTCCACCCCTTGGCATGTCTCAGTTCCCCTGCCCTCCCCTGGGCTGGGCACTAAGGGCACGTGGCACAGGCCCTGCTCACTGGGAAGCATCATTCGATCGATTGCTGGACTGACAGCCAGCCAGTGTTCCTAGCCTCGCAGGGGCCTCCTTACCTGGGGTGCGGAGGAGTAGGGGTAACCAAACTGCGGGTAGGACATGGCGAGCGCGGCCGGGGGCCGGCAGGTGGGCCGGCGGGGTCCTGCGCGGGGCCCGGCGCGGTGCGGCCACTGTTCCCGGGCCGCCGCCGGCTCCTAGGCGCTGGGGGCGAAGCGGGAGAGCCGGTTAGTTCATCTGCATGCTCAGCAAACTTTCCAGACCCGGTTGGAGAGTGAGCCACGGCGGCGGCAGCCTCGAACCTTTTAGCTTCGCAATCCAGAGCCTCGAGGGGACTTTGGGACCGACTGGCCTCGCAGAGGCAACACAAATACATATTTTGCAAAAAAGGAAAAAAAAATCCAACACAACTCAACCAGTCTCGTGAACCCGTCAAGTCAGATGCTTTAAGCGGCGGCGGCTCTGACGTCAGCGCACCCCCGCAGCCGGCCTGGCTGCAGACCGGGGGTCACCCGCCGCCGCATGGCCGGGTGGGGCGCGCGGAGGGGCCAACCTGCTTCAGCAAATGGATTTCCTCCGAGGAATCGAGATCAACGCGAAGAACAGCGTTTCTCCTTAGTCACCGAGGACGGGAGGCACTTTTAATTAGAAATTAATTAATGAGCAGCTGCTCCTCCCCGCACCACTGTAATCATTAGTCTCAATTACAAATGAGACGTACGAGGGACACACGAGTGAGTCTCGGTGAAGATGTAGATGTAATCAATAGTTACAATGGGTCCCGCGCGGGCACAGGCGGGCGCCGGCCTCGGCTCTCCGCGCCTCTCCGGGTGGACAGCCGGCAGCTCCGCGGGCCGGGCGTGCAGCGGCGGCCCCACTATTGTTAACCGCGAGTCCGACACTCGGCTCCCATCAGTTCGAACCCCACTCCGGGATCGAGTTCCAGAATCAGATGTGACTGCAATAGTGTCCGCATCTGGAGGGTCAAAATGCCCTCTGGGGTGTGGGAGCCTGGGGCCTTCCCCAGAGTCCGAGGGCTGCGGGCTTTCACCCTGAGCCGCTGTGTCCCTAGGGAACGCCCCCTAACCCCCTCCTCCTGAGAGTCTCGCCAGGTGCCTTTCCCTTCCCCCACTCCTCCAGCGGGCCACGGTCCCTGAGCCTCCTCTTGCCCCTCCTGGCTAAACCCGGGACTGTCCAAAGTTCTGGGCGCTCAGAGAGCAGGCTCAGAGACTGCTTTGGGGTCCTGCCGCTGCCCTCGCTCCACCGCTCTTCCGGGGACCTTGGTGGGTGGGCGCGATGGAGGGGGCGCGGGGCGTTAGGCAGAGGCGCCCTTCCCAGCCCGCTTTGCGTAGCTCCGTGCTTGGAGCACAGTGACAGGTCTGGGGAAGGGCCAGAGTGCCCACCCCAGGATTTCCACAGCCAGTTCTGGCCCCCGGACCGTGCAAAGCGGAGGCCAGCAAGCAGGCGGCTTCTGGCCACCCTGAACTCGCTCCCCGCCTGGTGTGCTGCGCCCTCCGGGGCCAGGCTGGCCCCCAGCGCTCTCGGTTCGCTCAGCTGCCCGTACTCGACTGGGGCCGGAGGGAGCGCGCTCTGCGGTGCTGTGCAGACTTGCTGGGAAAGATTCCTGGGTTCAGACCTGTGAATTGCCCCAGGGTCACCCTCTAATTAATGATGACGTTCTCACTCTCTCCCCAGCTGCAAGCCTGGCTTCCAGAAACGAAATCTGCCTGCTCTGACAGCTCGGTTGAAGGTGATTGATGACTATCTGGAGACCACAGTACGCATCATATAATATCTGCTGCGTAATTGCTTTAAATTTACAGACGAAAATACGAGTTCTCCGATCGCGTTGGATTGCAGCCGGCCACGTCCGAGCTGCTTGCAGAAGAAAAAACATTGGCAATAATGAATAGCCGCTCTATGCAAATTATTCAGACAGTTTAACGTCTGTAGCCGGAAGAGATATATAAAGAACACGAGTCAAATGACATTAATAATTGTTTTCTGAATTCTGTATTGATTTCGTGGCAGCCGTGTTTATTTCTTTCTCACCTGAATTGCTAATATCACCTTCCTGTAAATAATAAGAAACTAGCCACCGGGGCTTCTTGGCAGAAATAAATCTCTCAATCTCTCTCCGTCTTCCTCCTCCTCCATTCTTCCCTTCCCCCATCATCCCTCCTCCCAACTCCTTCCAGTTTTGCTTTTGCTGAAAGTCCTCCTACTTTCCATTATTTATTGTTTACAAACAACTCGCGCTCTCCTGTTAATGAGGCCCCGGTTGTAGGAAGGGGCACCAGGCAAGGGCGGATGAGGGCTCAGGGAGCAGGAATCCCATCCCGACACAAAGGTGGCATTCAGCATCTTTTCCTCACCTATTCCCAGGCCGATTGTGAACACTCTGAGGGCTGGGGAGTAAGCCACCAAGCCGTCCCCACCGCCAGTGCCTGCCGAATATCCAGACCTGACATCCACAGTTCCTTCCCCCAGACGCGGCCACAGCTCGTTGAAAACAGCGCCCCTGAACACCGACCATTTGTCTTCTGAGCTGCGTGCTCCCTCTGAAAGCCAGGCAGGCACAAACCCTCTGTCAGAGGCTCTGGGGCCTTCTTTGACGATCACTGCACTGTGTAAAACAGGCGCTCCCAGCCTCTCTGGCCTCTCAAGGGCTGGAGACCATCTTCCTGATACTGAAGCCCAGCTCACCCGCTCCACTTTCCCAGGCCTCTGAACACTGATCTTCACTTCCTGCCCTGCCCAGGCCCAGCCACCCCATTTGGGGAAACTTGGTGCTGTTGGCTGCTCACCCAGGCCCCGTAAACCAATTCTGGAGGCAGGGTCAGTGGGTACCCCCCGCTGAACCTGTGTTTTGCCTGGGGTCTGCCTGCCCAAACTGGTGTACTTCCTCGGCCATGTTTGTCCCATAGCTAATCCTGGAATAACTATCAAGTGCCCTTCACTAAAAGGCCAAACCTTGAAGTGAGGCACCTAGGTTTGTTTCCCTCCAAGAGCAGACAGAACAGGACCCTCAGCATCTCAGGTATCAACGAAGTGCATAGATTGGGAGTGCTGAGCCCATGTCCCTCCAGAGACCCCTGGTTCTAAATACACCCTGAGCAGAACTCACTGGAAACTCGCAGTACCACAGGGTCAGGGCAGCAGCTAAGCTTGGGTGAGGTGCCCCCACTGGCCTGCTGTATTCCAAAGGAGCCGACGATGAGGGGCCCTGAGGCGGGTTAGTCCCAAATGTTAAAGGCCTGCTGTTCGCTCTCCTCCCGGGTGGCTGCCTGCTGTCAGACGTTGGAGGGCCTCTGGGGATACAGGCCCCGCCCTGACCTTCTCCCGCTCCGGATGGGACTTTCGCCCCCGCCATCAGGTGAGCCCAGACACTCTCTGTTCCCTAGTTGTCCAGAAAAGCCATCCGGTCCCTCCCGCACGGGTAGCGGAGGACTCTAGTCCTGCAAAGTTGACCCTAGGAGAGGGCGGAGGCGGGAGCATGCAGTTTCAGGCAAGGGCCTTCTTTTCTGAGGCTTAGGGCCTGGGCTTGGGGCGCCCGTGCCCGCACACTGCTCCTGGACACCCGGGAGGAGTGAGGGGCTAAGATGCCGATGGCACCACACCCGCGGACCTCGAGGTTGGCAGGTCACTTCTTCGCAGCCAGTCCTCTGGGGTCTCCCACAAAGCCAGCGGAGCGAGCTGCAGGCGCACACATGGAATTCTCCTCCCCGAAACGCCCTCCATGCCAGGCGGCTCCCTCCGGCCCTCTTGCCGCGCCCCCGCCGCGCCCCCGCAGGGCGCCGCCGGAGGCTGGAAGGCGCGCCGCCCCTCCGGGTGTCCGAGCGCAGGCCCCGCCGGCCCGCGCCGGCCCCCGCGCCCCGTGCCCCGTGCCGGCCCCCGGCACCCCGTTTTTGCAACTTGCATAGCGAATGCGGCGGCCTCCAGAGACCCCACCGGTAGGCAGCAAACTTTGTGCCCTCCAACGCAGAAGCGATCCTCACAAAGTTTGTGCGGCCGAGCCCCTTCCCTACCTGCGCTGGGGACGCGCCAGCCCGCGCCGCTCAGGCGCCGGGCCCGCGGGGAGCAGCGCGCAGCCCTGGATGCGCCGGGAGTTCGCCACCGTCGCCGCCGCCCGCGCCCCTCGGCGACCGCGCGGAGCCTCCGCCTCCCGTTGGGGGGAGGGGTCTCGGAGCCCCGGGCGGGGGCGGGCGCGGGCGCGGGACCTCGCCTACCTGCGGTGGCTCCGGGCCACGACCCTCGGCCCGCCAGGGCTCTGCGCCGCCGCTCGGCGCGCGCGCTCCGGCGGGGAGCGGGCGACAACTAATGGAGACATTTCCAGGCGGAGCACCTGGCGAGCGGAGCGCGCCAGCGTCCCCAGGCGCTGCGGTCGTCAGCCGAGCCCGCACCGGTGTGACGTGGGCGAGCGAGCGAGCGAGCGAGCTGCTCCCACCCGGCCGCCCATTAACGCTTTCCCCCGCGGGCGCCGCGCACTTGCCAACTTTTCCCTCCGCCAGGCTTGCGCTCTGGGGGAATAGGAGCTAGGATGAGGGTGCCCTGGGGGGTGGGGTGACGGGGACACTGGGCTCAGAGAGGACACTGAGCTGAACAGCACTGCAGGAAGGCGCGCCGCTTTGATTTGGCCAAAGGCTCTGTCCGCTGTATGGCTCCAGGGAGCCTTGGGCTCCCCAGGGACCCTTAGGAGGCTGGTCCTGGTGCCCCCGTTGTCAGGCCTGGGGTTGCCAAACAGAGGAGCCACGCCCCCAGACAGCCCTGCTTCTGCTCCTTCTGGGTCCCAGTTCCCCAGAGTCCCCCCTTGACTTGGCATCCGGCCCTGGAGGTCAGGTTGAAGCTCTGGTGGTCTGCTTCTTCTCGGAATGGGCGAATAGGCTGGGTGTCTTGTTTCTCAGGCCCTTCCTTTCTTCCCTGTCTGCGCCCCTCCCCCCCCCCCCCCCCCGCGCCGAACCCCACCTCCCACCATCAACCTCATCGCATTAAGGGAGCCTTGCTTCTCTTGGTGGTGTTCATATTGATCCCCACCCACTGGGCTCTTGGGGCAGGGCAGTTCTAAAAAGCCTAGGCGTGGGTGTTACCAAGGTAACAGAAGCCC